CATTTACATAACATTTTTCGCATATAGTGACCACACAGCCCTCCGATTGCCTATCCTTGAGCTGTCATTTGATCTTGCAGCGATACAAGATTGAAACTGCATAGGAACAAGCGGATCTGTTAATTTTGACTTCAAAGTACTTTTTGTAACTGTAGGAGACTTTACAGGGTGCTGGATTAGCTGCATATTACAGTAACTCTATCCTAGATAAGAATCTGAATCATGTGTTGGATAGCTATTAGTACCTTTAATGAGGGAAGGCTTAAATGCTGAATGAGAGATGTTAGAATATAGAATAATTGAGTTATTTTAATTCTTATCTCCATGGAAGAATGCAACTGAAAGGCTCCTTGATAATACAGATAGTCTTCGACTTACGACCGCAATTAAGCCCAAAATTTCATTTGCAAAGCAAGACAGCTATTAAGTGAGTTTTGCCCCCATTTTACTTTTATGACCTTTCTTCCCACAATTGTTAAGTGAATCACTGCAGTTGTTAAGTTAGTTAAGTGAATCTGGCTTCCCCGTTGACTTTGCTTGTCAGAAGGTTGCAAAAGGTGATTCTGGGATGCTGCAGCTGTCTTAAATATGAGCCAATTTTCCAAGCATCCCAATTTTGATCATGTGACCATGGGGATGCAGCAATGGTTGTGAGAAAAATGGTCATATGCCAGCTTTTTCAGTGCTGTTGTAACTTCAAATAGCCATTAAATGAATGGCTGTAAGTCAAGGACTACCTGTAAAGCAAAGGTTCACATATGAACTTAAATGTTTAAATTCTGAACTGCACAGAAAATAAATTATCACTGATTATGCATCAGAATTTTGCAGTTATTTTTAATATATATGAATTTAAGCATAGGCTTTCTTAAAAATATAGAACTTATAATTTAATACCTTATAAAATCTAAGCAAATAACTAACTATGCATTTCCTCTATTGATCTATCTAGGGTAGAGCAGAAATTTATTTATTTAGCTATTCATATCTGTCAACATCCAGCTCGAGAATAAAAAAAAAAACAACCCTAGATTCGTTTTGTTTCTGAAAAGTGTACTGTTTATTGAATACCCAGCTTGGTTATGTTGAAGAAAAACTAATTCTGAGGTTCCAGCACCAATTCATAGACTTAAACAATAGTTTTCCCAGCCAAACCCTCAACATCTTACGTAATCCATATCAACGAGTCCACTTTGTTATCGGAACCATCTGCTTCAAATCCACACCTGTTCTGGTGTCCTTGACAAGGCTTCAAGCTCTCACGGTCTACAGCTAAATCAAAAAAGTTTTGTTTCTCCATCTAACTACTTGAAAGTAACAACCCCCCTGCTTAATCTAAAGGCAAGATGAAATGCAGAGGCACATAGCTGCCAAAGTTTCATCCTTGACAATATGTATATATGCATTTTTATGTTTAATTCCATGAACACTAATTCTATTTGTGCCAAACAACTGCAATGATTGAATCAAGCTGAGTTAATTTAAGTTACCATTTTGAGTAACTGGCTATGGTACAACAAAAGTAATATTTCAAAAAGATTGTATCATAGACTTGTGGAATTATTGCTTGTTCTCACCTCATACATCTGAATATTTAAGACCTGAATATTTAACAGTATTACTGGTTAAAAATAAACTGTTTCTTTACTTTTGGACTTTTTGTTTTTTAAAACATGTTTAAATTCTGTTGTTTATAAAATGCAAAGTTGTTTACACTAGGAGCTACATCAATAAACTGTGATACTGACTGGAAGCATGCTTGAACAGAAAAAAGAAAATGACATATTTATCAATAATTTTGTTTTGATTTATATCCTATATTTCAGGATGAACTCAGAACCCAATCTAATTATAATGCAAGCACAGAGCGTTCAAAAGGGGTGCATGCATAGGGCTCTCTTCAAAGTTGTATTTTCTGGAAGATATGTGTATGTGGACATAAAAACAATACTTCTGTCGGGTCTCAAATTCAGTGTTGAAATGTTTGTCTATTTTTTATAAATCAAGGCTGAGATGGATGAACAGTAGATGGTATTATTATCTGTGGCCTCCTAGCTAGTGTTGCAGTTAATATTTTAGCATTTACATTAATGAATCAGTCTATAGCTTGCATACTTGGTAGAATGTTTCTCAGGTGTTAATATCACCATACTAGAACACTTATGAAATAATAACTGAAATTATTGATTATAATCCTTTTTTCCATTGGAGCTAGAGGTGGTTATTTATTTATTTATATTTCAGTATAACCTAAAACAAAGAACTCAAAAAACACCTCTGCTAGATCTGATGGTAAAATTCAATAGCCTTGCATAACCAACCACGAAGGATGACCTAGTGAAGTAGCTACACCCAGCCTTCCAGGGCACAGTTCCCCAATCTTTCGGGGTTGGTGGCCCAGAGTGGGGGGCAGGGGAAGAAGGGATGGTTTTGTGTGTGGGATGAATGGATGTGTCATGAGCACATTTGTGGGGCTTTGGATGCCCAAAACACTCACGGC